ATATTCATATGCTGATAATAACAGCCCAATCTAGTGCAATTTACATCCTGGAAAATCTAGAATTATAAGAATTAAAATATTTTTGGTACAGTTGTAGCTTATACACAGTGCTACTCTGAAAAATTCTTTGACATGTATTTGATGTAAAAATTGTATACCTTCACTGATTTGATTATATTACAAGTAAGGAACGGAAGTGGCCCACAAGAAAACCTTTTTTGTTTTGTTGTGTGATTTTTTGTTGTTATTGTTTTGGGCTCCCATCATAAAGTGCTATAAGCAATACTCAGAAAATAAAATATTTTACACTAAAAAAGAAAAATAGAAAACTAAGTTTTGTTTTCATAAGGTGGATACTACCTAATCCATGCAATCTGCAGATGGAAGTAAGAGGGAAATTTCAGGGAGTGTTTTGGTTTGCTCATAAGCTTGGAGCTATACCAGTGAATTTATGGTGAAGTCTATCTCTTGCATAAAGACATCCAATAAGCCTGAGATGCAATCAGAAAATGGAATTCAGAGTGTTGGAAATCATATAGTGGATGACAAGGATTTCCTCTTAGAGACAAAGCCAAGATCTAGAAACAAAGCAGGGTTGCTTCCCAACATATCTTTGTGAAAGATGCATGAACAAATTCTCAAGACCATCATTCTCAGATTTAATTTTTCTATTCTATTTCAATTTATTCTCACAGAAAATCAACAGAGTGAGAATTCCATGATTACAATATAGTAGGAGTAAGTAAGAAGTATCATAAGGTCTCCGTGGATGCCTCAGATTAGCCATCAGAGCTCATTCTATTGTTGTTCCAGGATGAGATCTACAACAGAGATAAATGGTCAATTAGAGAATAAATAATGGCCATCAACCATAATCCTGCTCATAAGAAGTATACAGAGTTATGCTGCTTTATATTTATAGTGAAGATACTTTTGGCTAGCATGATCCATATATCCATATGGTCTACTTTATGGGTTCAGAAGAAGGAAGTAAAAAAATCCACAACACTAAAGAAAAAGAAGTCATTACTTATGTCTTGCCAAGATATATACAGTGTCTTGTTTTTGTTTGAGCTAACAATGTGCCTGATCTTCTGCTTTATGAGAGTGGACAATCACTGCCAGGTCACAGAAGGTGATGAAAGGCATAATGAGGCCCCTGCTAGTTTGGAAGTAGAATGTCCAAAGACCCATGTTGCTAAAATCTTGGTCACTAGACATAATTGCAAAGTAGTAGAATCTGAGATTTGGGAAAGTTGAAGGTCCTTAGATCACTGAGTGTGGGATTTTAGGGCCCCAGCCCTCCTTTTATGCCCCAGTCTGAAGGCAAATTATTTGTTCTGCTCATCTCCCTCATTACTGCTGTCTCACTCCCCTGCTAGGGGCAGACAGCCATGGGTCTGCCAGTCATGGATGAGAACGCTAAAAGTGTCAGCAAGTATGGCATCTTTTTCTTCATAAGCTGATTATATCAGGTATTATAGTGATGGACAGCCTAGCATTAAAGCTTCTGTTCAGGAAATTGAGAAAGTCATTCAGTAGTTGTTATTTTGGTAAGTCATTGATGAGTATGAGATTTCTAAAAATCAAATTGTTATACTTTTTATTGTATATGTATTACTTCCTTTTTTCTCTCTTTCAAATAAATTAGAATCTTATTTGCACAGTGACAGAAATTCCACTTTTCATTGTATGCAGTAAGTTTATGCCTTGGAATAAGGGTGAGATCAGCAATATCAACAAAGTACACTCTCAGCCTGCCACCTATTTCCCCTCTAGCATAAGCTCTCTGCTTTGGGCATGACTGACATCTAAAATGTTTTACACATAGCTTGATTCTACAAGTTATAAAACTCCTCTATACATTGGCAAAGGGATATTAATAAGGGGGCACTAAAACATGTTTCTGAAGCTGAAGGGGAAAAGGTTATCTTGCACTGTGAGGCACAATAATTTTCTCTCAATGGGGTATGCAAACATGGTTACAAGTCAATGTGGGGGCTTGAAATCTTGAGAAAAATAATTGATCAAGGGCCCCTAAAGTGTCCAGATGACAACTCAAGTTGGCAATAATAACTTTTGTGAAAAACCATGTAACCATTGACCATTAAGTATGAATTGGATGTTTACCTAGAGATCAGAATACCTACAGAGGAAAAAGATTCAACTTTCTGTAAGCTGCTCAAATCTCTCACTAGAGATTGGTAAGTTTTTTATTAAGAAATAGATGTCCCCCAAAGTTAATTGAACTGTTTAGGTCTGGCTTCACCTAAACAATGAGCCTCATCACTCAACAACATGTTTCTCCCTTATAGTCAGAGAAAAAAGTCATACAACAAAGTGGGTATTTTCTTTTCTTTCTTCTGTTATGGTACCAGGATTGAACTCAGGACCTTGATTATGCCAGGCAAGTGCTTATGCTGCTGAGCTATCTCCCCAGTGAAAGTGGATATTTTCTAGAATAATGTGAAATAAGATGGAAGGACATCTACACATTAGAAAATGTACTTGATGTTTAGTAATTAAGTCAGGACTTGGGTTCAGATCACCCTATTCCTAGGGTTATATTGTTTCGGGGCAAAGAGGCATGTAAGTGATTGATTGAATCTGGAGTTGTTACATAGGACAACAAATTTCTCTCTGAAACTTTGAACCTATAATCTGCTGGTTGAATAAAAATGGTATAAAGTGTATCATTATTTCAGGTTATCAAGTGCAACAATCTTCTAACCTTGTGAAGAAGATATAATCTTGTTTTTCAAAACCAAGTAAACATTCTTTATGTGATGGAGTACTGATATACCTTTATTTTGCAGGCAGAGATTGTGAATAGGCAGAGAAAAGAATTGAGCTCAAAGAAACCAAAGTATTTTGCTGAAATATAAGGAAGAAATTTGTGAATGATTTTTGAGCCTCAAATGATCAAAATGTTTATGGGTGGCCAAATAACTAGATGCACAAACTGAGGAGTAACATGGAAATAATTAGAAATTTTTATAGAGATGAAAATAATGACTATAAACCAAAAGAATTATTGCCAGATCAAAAGAGAGGTAACTGATAGTGTAATGAGGCCTTTTAGCAGTTTGGATATTGTACAGCCATAGAGGTCAAGCATCAAGAGTTTGGTCCCAGAAAAGTGCAGACTGGCACTTACATTAGTAGTAGAAACATCAGTGGCAACAATTTGCAAGTATTACTGCTAATATTTGCTACTCAGATATATATATATATATATATATATATATATATATATATATAATTGAAATTATTTAATACCACTGAAGTAGCTATCAAATTTTTCATTTTACACAGAAGGAAATTAAAATTTAGATAGTAGAGATAATTAGTTTAAATTTACAAAGATAATTGGATTAGTGTTCTAATCAAGACTGAATGAGGGTCAAGCCGATAGCTCAGCAGATTAAAACACATCTTTAGGAAGATGCAGGGGTCAGAGGTTGGATCTAGGCCTGCTGTACTGGCCTCACCCCCAGGGTGTGCTGAGACTGTGATTGAGACTGGGCCTGGTGGTGTGCAACTGTAATCCCAGCACTTGGGAAGCTGAAAACAGGAGAATCACTAGAAGTCTGATCTGTGTAATGATACCCTGTAGACCCTGTACTAAATCAAAAAAAAAAAAAAAAAAGATGGAATGAATCCAGAAATGAGATTTTTATCTTATATTGTTTCTAAGTGCTTTCATTTTTACTGTTTTAAATAATTCAATTTATTGATATAAAAAAACAGAGTATAGAGAAATCACTTAGTTTCATTAGTCAATGGATTTGAAGGCATGTGGTTGCACATTTTGGATAATATATAAAAATACATAAAACAAAAATTTGCTGGTATTAAAAAGCCTCAACTCAAGTGAAATCTGAGGTAAACCCAATCCATTTTTGGCATCATCTAAAAATCTCAGAAGTGATTCTTTAAAGTGAATCTAATCAGATCTGGAGATAAAATTTTTTGTTTGAACTGTGGAGGACTAAGGTCACTTAGAGTTTAAAGTACAAAATTACATCAAAATTGTGTTTTTAATATTTTCGTTAGGCACTGTTAAATGGAAGAAAGCATAACAACTGAAAAGAAGCTGGAGTGGTCATTTTCCAGCAATGCTGGGAATTGACCAGCATTTGAAAATTTTGAACCAGAAAACTTTCTTCTCCTAAACATCATGCTGAATTATTTTTAAGACTTGATGATTCCTGTCTTTTTATTTTATTTTATTTTATTTTATTTTTTTATGGTTCTTGTCTTGATAATTTTTCTCACTGAAGGACATCAGGACACTTTAGTGATCTTTATGATTTCATCATAGCTGTGAATTTATGATGAATATAGCACCAGGCTGGGGATGTATAAATCTAACGTTACCTGTCAATGTATCAGAAAGTGAGCATATGTACCTGGATAAATTCTTTACCTTTTCTAGATGCTTAGTAATCTATTTCAGTTGTAAAATAATTTTATTTTTCTGTGCTAGGGATCAAAATTTGGAACTTGCACTTTCCACACAGATACTAATGCCACTGAGATATATACCTGGCTGTCTAAAATAACTTTAAACAGATGATAAATAAGAAAAGTAATTTGAATAAAATATACTTCTTATTCTGATTTTAAAATACGTGCATAAAGTTGTATTCTTTGGTACTGCATTTAAAATTATACTTACCTAGAACAGTACATATGCATTATCACTGCAAACTATTCCTCATTTCAGCATCAATCTGATAACAAAAAACAATGTGATATATAATTTAATAAATGCTTTATTTGCAGGCTTAGGCAGAGTCTTGCCAAAAGGAGTTTTAATACTATAGTTTTTATTGGTTGTGCTTCACATTGATTTAGATTTTTATTATCTCTTGCCTTAAAGAGTTTATAGTTTTCTTAGAAAAATAGACAAAGAGCCAGAAGAATTTAATAAATGCTAATTAGTAGGTGTATACAGAGTGTTATTATATAGAGGAAGAGATTGAAAAGGAGGGATTCCTGGAATAGATGATGTTTAAACAGTGTCCAGAAGCCTGATGAAAGATAGGAAAACTGGGCTCAGTCTTTCTTTACAAAGGGCTTGAGATGAGAATTAGTTTAAATGTTGGAAGTTTAAATGTGTTCTGGAGGTGCAAGACACATGCTAGGAAGTCAGGCTGCAGAGGAAATCAAGGGCCATAAACCTGCTGATTGGGGGAAAATTTATCTTTTAGTTTGGAAGCAATGAAAAATCATGGGATGAACATATGAACCATTTTGTATTTGCAGGCTTTTTTAAAGAATACAATATAATTACTATTTATTTCAATACTTTTAAATATGTTTTTCTTTTTTTTTCTTCACATTCTGTAGGGATTTAAAGTTTAACATATCAATACTTGATGGAAAATACCTATTATAAGTTGTGTCTAATAAGTTTGATATTCAGACAGATAGTGAGGTTAAGCTCAACTGCCTATGTTATTAGGGTAATAATATCATTAAGCTTCTCTTCTGGAGGGTAAAAAAACTTATGTTTGCAGACCAAAATAAGTACAGTCAACATTTTTGCCTTAGCCTTTTAAGGTCAAAGAGGACTCAGGACACAAGAGAACTTAAAATATAACATGCTGTAATTCAGTTGTGTCCCAAATTTACTGATCAAGGAGATTATGGGGCCACGGAGGATAGTGGCTGATGATGTACATTGTGCCTACGGGAGAGTCATATGGAGAGAAAACATTCTCTCAGGCATTCACAGAGAGCAAATTGACCAAGCAATGGCTGTGACTCATGCACATGGCTGACACCGACAGGAAATATATAAACTGTGGTACAGAATTTCATGGGAAATGCTTTGTGGATTTGACTAACCTTGGCAGATACAAAGGTTGCATTTCTTGTTATATAGTTCTTGCTTTATCTTGGTCTTAACCATCGAGCAAAAAAAATTACGAAAAAGAGGTATAAAAAGTAAAGTCATATTAATATGCTGAGCTGTAAGAGCTCAAGTCAACAACTTCTGATGTTGCCAGTCCTATGGAAAACCCACTACTATTATGGATACTGAACTAAATTGTATTATTTTTCTGGATTTACACACCTACAATATTTAAATGGCAAAGGAATATCCATCTCCGACAAAACTAAATGAACAAAGAGGATACAAATGAAGGACTATTTTGTGAGTGTATATGCAAAACAGTTAGGATAGATACAGAGCTACTCTCTTTTAATTCAGTAAGAAGAAGATTTGTACTAGTAGTGTTTGGACAGAATATCATGTCTGCATCTTGTACTATGAATAACTACTATGAACACAACAATATGCAATGTATTAATTATTGAAACCATCCTACTAATCTGTTTTGAAAATATCTCATTGGTATCTGTTTCTCAATGAAATTAATAAAAAAAGAATACAATATAATAATGGAAAAGCACTGAAACAATAAAAAATTTCATTAAAAATAATAGGATTCAGCAATGGTTGCTGTATTAGATGATGTTACCATTCAGATTAGTTGCTTCAGATATAAGCTGAAAAATTGATTAAGAAAACCAACAATAACAAAACTGCTGTAAGAAATTAAAAAGAAAAAATTAAGAATAAAAATAATTTAAGCATTAATTGGTCTTTTCAAAAGACCAAAAGAAATCAGTAGCACAATTATCCAAATTTTTCTGCATATACACATAAACATATCTTTTCACCTTATTTATTTTTGTCTTTTCCTCATCCTAGTTTTTCTTTTCCTATGAAAAAATTCTTTCTCTTTGGCAGCATCTATTGTAATTTTCAGATGTTATTTACTCTTTCAGCTTTTTATGCTGGAGAGACAATATGATGTTTGCACATGAGGGTCTCTACTACTATCTATTCATCTACAAAAAGCCTTGAATTTATCTTTTTTATAGCTGAGTAATACTCCATGGTGAAAAAATCCCACAGATGAAATTAACTGTGAAGCACTAGGCATAGACTATAGAAATAATACCTACTGGGAGATTGTGGCCCAAGTGAAAGATTTCCTTAAATTGGGCACTAAAACTGTTTTAAAATACAGGCAGAATTTTGAGATATTAAGGTAGAATTGATAGCAAGTGGAATGTGATTGGATATATGTGGAAAAAGTAGAACAAACTATCACTAAGATTTTATTTTTGGAAAATTATGGTGATAGTAATAAATTTAGGAATAAAAACAAAAAGAAGTTTTAGGGGAAAAATTTTGTTATGCTGACTTTGAATTTTGCTTGTTTTGTATTTTGAAATGGGGTGTCTCTGAATAGCTCTGGCTGGCCATGAAATCACTATGTAACCCTGGCAGGTCTCAAATCTGCTGGGATCCTCCTGTCTCAGCCTCACAGGTGTATTGATTGTAGACATATGTCACCATGCCAGGCTGAGTTGAATTTCTTATGGGATGAGATCTCATGTGATTATAGCACCCCACAGAGATTTTAACATGCTGGCACTGAGGAGAGAAATCCTGTCTGGATGCAGAACTAGAGCATAAAGTCATATGCAAAGGTGAGAACCCTTAGTGTAAAGGACTATATTGGGGTTGGAGAGGACCTAAGAAAGACTCTGAACATAGAAGTTTAAGGAGTAGATGGAGGAAGAAAAAAAGTTTCAAAACAAGACAAGAAAAAACACACAAGAAAAGGCAGAAAATATGCCACAGATGCCAAGAAAAAGAAAAAGAAAAAAAAAAGATTCAGGAAAGAAGAGGAGATTCTGGATATCAAGTGTTTTGTAGAGAAGTCTGACAAGAACTGAGCAAGGTTGGTTGGGTTTATCAAGCAGACTAGTAGCATGACTGTATTAGGAGTGGTATGGTAACATCAGAAGCCAGACTACCCAAGACTGTATAATTTCCAGGAGGTATGATGAGTCAGGTATATTTCTATGTGTTTCCAGGATCTCCTAAGGAGAATAGAAAGGCAAAATAACTTCAGAAGTACTCATAGTTTATTTGTTATATATTTTAAAATAAGGAGAAAATACCTTTAATACAGGTTGAACAGAACCAGTGAAACAAAATTGTTAATGCAAAACTAGAGGGCATAATTAATTGACAGTGAAGACAAGGAATGGAGATCAGTGAAATTCAGAGTGATATATTTATTTATTATTTTAACTGGTGTATGGTATAAAGTCTCACTATACAGATTGGAGTCCTGTTGATCCTCCTGTTTTCAGCCTCCACAGCTCTGGGATTACAGGTGTGGGCTACTACGTCTGCCTGAACTCTGTTACTGGCTTAGTATTCCCTGGGGGAAGGGCCAGTATGTCATGTGAGACCAGGGATTGAACCCTGGTCCCTGTGCTTGCTAAAACAGGCATTTACTCCACTGAGCTATCTTTGGCCGTTGATATTTTAAAGTTGGTATAGATTTCATTATTTTAACAATAATTTTGGGTTTCCAGCCAATAGTTAATGCAGACATCTCTACGAACACACTCAGCCACCTGATCTTCCACAAAGGGCCTAAACACACCTCCTGGAAGAAAGATTGCCTCTTTAAGAAATGGTGCTGTAAAAACTGGCTCTCTACATGCCGAAAATTAAAACTTAATCAGGTCTATCTCCATGCATTACGTTAAAGTCAAAATGGATTAAAGATCTGAACATTAAATTGGAAACAATAAATCTCCTGGAAGAGAAAGTGGGAGGAACTCTTGAAGACATAAAGGTGGGCAAAGAGTTCATGAACAAAAACGAAACCGCATGGGTAACACTTGAAAGTATTAATACCTGGGACCAACTATTTTTTTTTTTATCAGAATATACTTAGTGAGAGAAAGAAAGCTCCTGTCCAAAAGAGGGACAGGAGGGGGGCCCAAGCGGGTTTGCTCCACCTGGGACCAACACTTATTGACAAGTTTATGCACGTCAAAAGAAATTACCAACAAAGCTAAAAGACAACCCACAAATTTCAAAAAAATCTTAATAATAAGCACTCAGACAAAGGTCCACTCTCTAGAATTTATAAAGGACTAAAAACATTAGGGCACCTAATTTTAAATTCCCAATACAGAAATGAGCATCTAAGATGAACACATACTTCTCAGAGGATAGTTTTAGAGAAGCAAATAAATATATGAAAAAATGCTCCACATCACTAGCCATCCATGAAATGCAAATTAAAATAACATTGAGATACCATCTCACCCCACAAAGAATGGCTATTATAAAGAAATCAACCAACAACAAATGTTGGAGAGGCTGTGGGGAAAAGGGTATCCTTTTCCACTGCTGCTAGCAATGTAGACTGATGCAATCATTAAGGAAACCAGTGTGGAGACTCCTTAGGAAACTGAGACTGGAAATCTCATTCAAGCTAGATGTCACACTACTGAGAATTTAAGCAGAGAAACTTAAAACGTCATGTCATAGTGATATGTGTGTGCCTGTGTTTATAGCTGCACAATTTGTGATAGCCAAATCTTGGAAACAACCAAGATGCCCATCACATGAGGAATGATTGAACAAGATGTGTTTTTAATGCAATGGAGTATTACTCAGCTCTAAAGAATGATAAAATTGAAGCATTTATATTTAAGTGGATGCCACTTGAAGATACACTTATAAGCAAAATAAACCAGACCTACATGTGTAAATATCGTATTGTCTTCCTAGTATAAGAACTCAAAAGAAGAAATACAAATAGGAAGGTATAACACAATTAAAAGGAAAGTGAGAACATGAGGATTGGACAGCAAGAGGGCAAGGAGAAAATCTGCGAAA